ATGGAGGGATGGGTGGGGGGAGCGTGCTGCAGTGGGTACAGGGGGAGGGGCTGGGGGAGCGTGCTGCAGCGGGTACTGAGGGGCCCAGGTGGGACAGGGCAGGATGAACACTTCTGGTGGTGGTACAGTTGAGGCCTGGCCTGGAGACCCCATGACTGACCCCCTGTCCACCTTGCAGATCGTGAACCTGATTGAGGAGACTGGGCACTTCAATGTCACCAACACCACCTTTGACTTCGACCTCTTCTCCCTGGACGAGACGACCGTGCGCAAGCTGCAGAGCTACCTGGAGGCTGTGGCCACATGACCCTGGGCCGGATGCCAGGCCCTGCCACCCGGGTCCCAAGAGGCCGCGTTCAGGCCCCACCTGCCTTCCTCTCCACTCACCTGCCTGCAGCACTGCCTTAGAGACCGCCGCCGCCGCCCTTGGCCCTCATGGCCAGCTGCACTTTCTGGGGTGGCTCCCTTCCGACTGGCCCCCCACCCACCAGGAGACCAGGGGCCCCAGGGCCAGGCAGCCCGGGCCTGGGCCGTGGCTCAGCTGCGCGCACCATCGCCCGGCCCCCCCTAAAAGGCGGTTTGTGTTGAAGGCAGCGTTGGGCCTGGTTCTGGGGAGGGGAACTCGCCCCGCCTTGGGCCCAGCCCCCAGGCTCTCCCTTCTCCCATGCCAGGCTGTGTGGTGCCATGTCACTGCCTGGGCCTCCCTCAGCAACCAGGGCATCCCGCCACCCTGAACGGTTCGCGTGAGCCCCTCGGCTGCCTGCCCACCTGCCAGGGGACTCCAGGGGGCTTCGTCTGTGCGGCCCGGCAGCCCCTCCCTCCGTGCCAGCCACGGTGCGCGCCGGGCCTCCCGCTGTACAGCTCTGTGTAGATTATTATATGTGTGTGCCCGGGTCACGAGCGGTTCCCTGTGCGTTTCTGTGGCCGGTGCACGTGGGGGTGGGGGGCGTGGGCTTGTAGGTTAACGTGTCTGAGTCTGTGTGCGAGGCGCCCGCCAGGGCCACAGGAGCTGCCCCCGCGGCGCCCTCCCCCTCAGCATCCTCTTCCTCCCCTTTTGTTGATCAAGTCTTCAAACTTGGAGAAAAAAAAAATGAGCTTTTGCCAAATAAGATGGGATCATCCGTGTCCGAGGAGGCGGGGAGGCCGCAGAGCACCGCGTGCCCGCGTGGCGGGGCCCCGCCACAGCCACGGGCCCCCACAGCCTCCCCTCTGGCCTGGGCCTCCACCTCCACTGCTGCGGTCCTCACTGGCCTCCCAGAGACTTAGCTCCCGTTCACCCCAGACTGTCCAGGGCCAAGCCCCCCCACCTTCCAGGGCACTGAGCCCTTACGCCGTTAGCACCCTGGGGTCTCCCGGGGCCCCAACTTCAAGGCTCCTCAGCCCCTCCTGACTTCAGAGTCGTCTCAAGCATTCACGCTCTGTCCACGGTGTTCGAAAGAGGACCGGGGACCCAAGGGGACCCCACGCTGCTCCGGGACAGATTGCTCTCCACGATGAGTGTAGGTAAGGAGGCCCCGCCCTGCCCTGCTGCCCACGGGCCCCCGAGCGCTCCTGGGGGACTTCGGCCTCCAAGGCTCCCCCAGGGCCCCCCCAAGCCCACTGCCTCAGCGCCAGCACCCCGGCCCCGGGCAGGCCAACAATACTCCAAAGCTGGCACTCTCCAGAAACTCCAAGATACTGGACGAAAGAACTCGGCAACATGGCAGCTGTGACTCCGAGGCCGGGGCACCAGTGGGGCCTGGGGCCGTAGAGCTGGTCTTCCTCTAACTTGGGATGGCCGGGGTCTGCAGGGCAGCCCGGCTGCGCCAGCCCACCCCCCACCCCACTCCACCCGCCCGGCCTCCGGAAGCTCCAAGTCTTCTCCGTTACCTCCACCGCCCTCCAGCGCCCAGCGGGGACTGCCAGGGGCCCTGCTGCTCCCCGCCCCGCGGGGCCGGCGCTGCGCCGTGCTGCCCGCCCCCAGCACCACCCTGGAGCCACGGGCACGCAAGGTATGGATGCCCAGTGCCCGCACCGCGCCTGGACACGGGTGCGGAGGAGCGTCTGTCACGAGTCACAGGATTGTTTCCGTCCTGGATTTTAAACTGTTTTTTTTTTTTTTTTTTGTTAAATTGTGAATTGATGGAGGAGTTTTATAGGAAAAAAAAAGTGAAATAAAGTCCAATGAGAAAGCAGGCCTCAGTGTCCACGCCTGGCCCCCAGCCAGCCTGTGCCCCCAGCCAGCCCGTGCCCCCAGCCAGCCCGTGCCCCCAGCCAGCCCGTGCCCCCAGCCAGCTCTCCAGACCTCTGTTGTCGCGCATGCCCCAGCCTCTCGCATTTGTTACCATGGCAGTACACAGATGCAGCCCCGGGACCCTCTCAGATCAGCAGGCTCATGTCCTTGGCTGTGCTTCATTGTGTTCGTGGGCACAGAAGTGACTGCCAGCCTCTGTCCCCACCCCCACCCCAGCCCGGGGCCCCTCTGACCCCGCCTGTGTCTATGTCTTTGAGACATTTGCCATAATTTCCCCACGAGAGTCGTGAGGGGTCCTCCGTGGGCCCTCCCGTGTACTGCCTGACCTGCCCGCCCTGTGCTCCCTGATTTTCTTGGCAGGTGGGGACCACGGACACGGGTACGTGTCATTGTGGGAGGGAGGGGCTGAGCTCATGCCTCACCTCCGTTCACTCCAGACCCAGGAGCCCCCAGTCCCAGGGTGTCCCCAGACACCATGCAGGGACACGGGTGGGGGGCAGGAGGGTGGGCCAACAAGATCACCGCCCTAAATGAGCAGACCCCCTTAAGTAAAGCAATTTTATTTTTACAATTCAAAGTCCTGTGGCTCTGGCAGGCCTGGCAGCTCTGGGCCCTGCCTGCTGGGGTGGGGCATTGCCCAGTGGCCTCTCCTCTGGGGCTGCCCCCTTAACAGACCCACAGGAAGAATGGGGGGAGGAGGGAGGTCACAACTAATGTGGCAAAAGAATGAGGTAAGGGCTCCTTCACAGCCGCTAACTACTCATACAATTTCTGGATCTCCTCCTTGTACATCTTGGTCACGGTCCCTCTCTTCAGTTTCGTAGTGGCTCCTGCAACAGAAGCAAGCCCAAGGTAGAGGGTCTTGTGCTCCAAAGGGTCCCCAGCTAGTCCTGGCATGCCAGATGCAGGGGTTTAGAAAACGTGGGGTGAGCTGGGCACTGGTGACTAGTTTCCTATAATCTCAGGTGCTCAGAAGGATTAAGATCAGAGGAAGGGTTCAAAGCCAGCCTGGGTAAGAAAGTCTGTGGGACTCCTTTATCTCCAATAAAACACTCGGAAAACCAGAAGTGGCGCTGTGGCTCAAAGGGCAGAGTGCTAGCCTTGAGCTGAAGAGCTGAGGGACAGCGCCCAGGCCGCGAGTTCAAGCCCCACAACCGACAAAAAAAAAGCCAGCCTAGGCAGTGAAGTCCATGAGACTCTTGTCTCCAGTGAACCACCAGAAAGCCACAAGTGGAGCTGTGGCTCAAGTGGTAGAGCATTAGCCTTGTTCAGGGACAGTGCCTAGGCCCTGAGTTGGAACCTCAGGGCTGGCACCAGGAAGGAAGAATAAGATTCGGGGTTGAAGGGAGCCCCACTTGGGAGCTCCAGACGCTCACCGAGCTCGCCGCCACACACGGAAAAGTCTGTGTCCAGGACGACCCACTTGAGCACCTTGTAGCTCTCGGAGGGCGCCTCCTCGTTGGCAGCCTCCATCCCCTGCTTGATGAAGTTGTCCACGATGGGATCCCGGCCTTCCAGCACGTCACTCAGCCAGGTGGCCTGGCTCTTCAGGCTCCGGCACACAGCCACCACCTCATTGGTCAGCGTGGTCCGCGGCTCCCCTGTCTCCCAGTTGACCTGGCACTGCAAGGGGAAATGGAGTCAGGCCCCTCTGGGTCACCACACCCCACACTGGGGGCTCGCCACATGTTCCCCACACCTGGACCCTGGGTTTTTCTCGTATACATTTTGTTTGCTTGTGCCAGTGCTGAGATTTGAACTCAAGGCCTGAACACCATCCCACAGCTTTTGGGTTTGATTCCTCAGCACCACATAAACAGAAAAATCCGGAAGTGACACTGTGGTTCAAGTGGAAGGGCGCTAGCCTTGAGCTGAAGAGCTGAGGGGCAGTGTCTAGGCCCAGAGTTCAAGCCCCACAACCGACAAAAAACAACTACACATTGGAGCTGGGGAGCGACTCTGCTCCAGCGAGGGGTCCGCAGGCCCCCCTCACTGAGCCTCTGTCCCCTCATCTTGTAACAGGGCGTCAGCCCCCATGCCACCCACCACACAGGGACGTGGCACCGGGTACCTTCAGCGTAAGGAGGGCAGACAGGAACGGGTGGTCCTGGCCCACCACCACCACATAGTGAACAATGGGGATATGGTTCTTCACCCGCTCCTCAATGGGGTTTGGGTTGATGGCCTCTCCGGAGCTCAGCGTGATCATATCTGTGTGCAGGAAGAGCAGGCATTTGCCCCCCCCAAAATAAAACAAACCTAACACGGAGTGGTGGTCAGGATGGGGACTGTCCCAGAGCAGCCCTGACTTACAGAAGCAGACCCCAATGCACAGGAGACACCCCTGGGTCAGGGCAGTGGTTCATGCTTATAAGTCTAGCTATGTGAGAGGTAGAAATGAGGAGAATGAGAACCAGCAAGGGTGAAGAAAAAAAAATGTTAGCAAGACCCCATATCTCAATAATAGGTCAGGTATGGTGGCACAAATCTGCTAGCTCAGCCAAGCAGAAAGCCACAAGTAGGAAGGGTCGCCAATCCCAGGCTGGCTCTGGAGAAAAACAGGAGTCCTTATCTGAAAATGAGCTCAAGCTCAAAATGGCTGTGGGCCTAGCTCAGCAGCAGAGCACTAGCCTGGCAGGTGCAGTCTTAAGTTCAAAACCCACTACTGAGCCCAGCCCAACCTAACCTTGTAATCCTAGCTACTCAAGAGGCTGAGATCTGAGAATTGTGGTTCAAAGCCAGGCCCAGGCAGGAGGAGCTGGGACTCAAGGGGTAGAGTGCTAGGTTGAGCAAGAAAAGCTAAGAGCTTTAACTTGGACTCAGGCCCTGAGTTCAAACCCCAGTACAAGTCACACATCACACAAAGACATCCAGTGTCATCCTAGCTACTCAGGAGGCTAAAATCTGATGATAGTGGTTCAAAGCCAGCCCGGACAGGAAAGTCCAGGAGACTCTTATCTCCAATGAACCACCAGAAAACCGGAAGTGGCACTGTGGCTCAAGTGGTAGAGCGCTCGCCTTGAGCTGAAGAGCTGAGGGACAGCGCCCAGGCCCAGAGTTCAAGCCCCATGACTGGTCAAAGAAAAAAAATAATCCAGCATTGACAAAAATCCAAACCGGACTTAGGGTTTCCTGTGCTTTTCGCAAGTGCACAAACCACACCGCCGTGGGCAGCCGCCCTGCAGGCCCGGCTGTATCTCCCTCACCCTTGGTGCTGCCCAGGATGTAGAGGAATTTGTCGGAGTCCAGGAAGCCCATGTCCATGGTGTGCATCCAGCCCTGGCTGTCTATCCTCTGGCGCGTGCTCTCGAAGTCGTTGAGGTAGCCCATGAAGATGTGCCGGCCCCACACGCATATGTTGCCGATGCCCTCCTCATTCTCCTCTTCCACCTTCGTATTGGTGTTCAGCAGCGCCTTCCCACAGCTGGGGGCAGGAAGACGGTTGGGACACACGCCAGACACGTCCCCCACCAGAGCAGGGGACCCCTAGCTTTTCCTCCCTGGGCTGTCCCTGAGCTCTTCAGCTCAAGGCGAGCGCTCTGCCACTTGAGCCACAGCGCCACTTCCAGTTTTCTGGTGCTTTATTGGAGATAAAAGTCCCACAGACTTTCCTGCTCGGGGTTGGCTTTGAACCATGATCCTCAGATCTCAGCCTCCTGAGTAGCTAGGATTATAGGTATGAGCCACCAGCACCTGGCTCCATGAAACTCTCATCTCCAACGAACCACCAGAAAATGGAAGTGGTGCTGTGGCTCAAGTGATGGAAGAGTGCTAGCCTTGAGCAAAAGAAGCTCATGGACAGCACCCAGGCCCTGAGTTCAAGCCCCACAACTGGCACACATACAACAGACACACACAAAGATATCATGGTTTCCATCTTGATGTTGTATGCGAGCCAGCTGCCATCTTGAATGACACTCTAGCATCTCTGTGGAGAAGTCCACTGAAGGTCTCTTACTATGGCCTTGCAGGGAGGGATACTGGAAGATGTCCCTCCTCCCCGGCCCAGCGTTCGGATGAGAACACGGACAATAGCTTGACCAGGAGCCAGGCTGCCCAGCTTGGAAACAGCTCCCCTTCCCCATCCATCCTCCGCCCAAACCTGCTGCTGTGCTAAGTTGCTAACTAGCAGACATTTTTTTTTTCTGTGTCAGCCCTGGGGCTTGAACTTAGGGCCTATAAACTGTCCCTGAGCTTTTGTTCAAGTCTAGCAGTCTGCCACTTGACCCACAGCTCCATTTCTGGTTTTGTTTATTTGGTGGTTAACTGGTGATAAGTCTCATGGACTTTCCTGCCTGGGCTGGTTTTGAACCGCGATCCTCAGATCCCAGATTCCTGAGTAGCTAGGATTACAGGTGTGAGCCACTGGTGCCCAGCTGGATTATTATTATTTTTTTTTGTACAAGCCCTGGGGCCTGAATTCTGGGCCTGGGCACTGTTCCTCAGCTCTTCAGCTCAAGGCTAGCGCTCTACCACTTGAGCCACAGCGCCACTTCCAGCTTATGTGGTGCTGAGGAATCAAACCCAGGGCCTCATGCATGCGAGGCAAGTGCTCTACCACTGAGCCACCTTCCCAGCCCTCACATTAACTTTTATATAGAAGCAGATAAATGAATACAAGACAAATGAATGCAGGAGAGGCTCACGGGACGGCTGAGGCTGGCTGACTTGGCCAATAG